GTTCTGGCACCCAAAGAAGCACTCCTTGCCTGAAAACTGGAAAAAATATATAATTTTCCTTATTGCTGCTACATAAGATGTTGGTAGGAGCAGAGAGAAATTTTCTCAGAATTTGTCCATGAACTTCAGCCAAATGCATTCCCTTGCTCTCTTTTGCACAGTTGGTATTGGTGAGGTAGCCAAGAATTTTCTCTTTTAGTAATACTAGAAATCTGACTGTACATTTTATGCACACACACACACTTTGCATATCCTGTATGTAAAAAGTAAAGCGAATTGCATTCCCATTACCTTTGCCTATCAGACCAATATTGTGTATTTGGAACTTTGTTTTGTGTTGATGCACAATGCAGATGTACTAAGGAGGATTTTTGCCCAGGTTCTTGTTCACTATCTGCACATTTTGCCATCTCACGTTCAAAGAGGCATTTCTATGTCTGGCAGAACATTCAATCAAATGATGGAAACTTGTCAGCACTGCTCTTCTGTGATCTCTCGCCATCTCCAATGTTATTTACATTATCAGATCAATTCAGTCTCACGCAGAAAGATATTGTAGAAACACTGTTGTGTTCCTGACATTGTCAGGATTCAATGTCTAATGTGAGAGTTAGAAAGCAGATCATGCTGAAAAGGCTGTGGAGAAGATGGGAATGGGATTATGAGAGATGTTTGTTCAAGGATAAAAATGTATCCAAATGAACATTTTGCAACTGCCTTGAAATTGCACAGTATTATCCATTTTGGATATCAGTTCTGGATCATGAGCCTGGGGCAGTGCTAGAAGTTCTCCCTCCCTCCCTCCCTTATGTGGATATCATATGCCTTCAGCTTTCCAGTCATAAGGAGCCTAATTTCCTCTCATTCTGTCTGACCCCATTCTTCTTGGAATCATTTGGCATGAAGGTGTCTTGGGACAAGACTAGGGTCAACTGCTCTGCAGGCAAGAAAGCATTGGGCAACTACTGGCACATATGAGGACAGTATCCCTTTACTTCAGAAAATTAGCATGTTATGCAAAAGCAATACAATTATTTCTCAATTCCCTTTCTAAAGGAGAAGCATTTCCTAGTCTGTGAATGGGGGAAATTTGACTTTTCCACCAGAAAATGCAGACATTTTAAATATTTCATCTCAATACAGAATGCCCCCTTCTCATATATTTAAACATAGACAATAGTCTTCAGATAGCAGAATGCAAATTGGAACCAAATTGGTACAAATGGGATATGGAATCTTTAAAAATGTGATTTGCAAAAAGTTATCTGGTAAAATAGCCACAAAGGTTTTATGTGTGGGTAATGCTTAGTGTCCTAGTGACTCTACTGGTAAAGTTCTGTTTCTGCTACAGATTCATTTCAGGTATTAGTTTTATTGTTGATGCTATGATGGTGGTACTGGGGAAAAAAGGGTGACAAAGGTGACGCTGACAGAAATAAGAATATTGTTTATCACACGTAGTGTCTGTGTTTCAGACTGCAGGAAGTGCTGGACACTTGTTGGCGATGGACTGGATCCCACTGAAGATAAGTTTGCTCATCTGCTCTATGCCATGATGCCCTCTTCCTAAACTGCAAAATGTAAAAATGTGGTTGATCTTTTCATGTTTTCACAAACATATATATCCAGCAAGTCTGTGTGCTATGGCTGCAACTTTTAGCAGGTGAAAGGACTTGATTTAACAACTAAGAAAGGAATGGATAAAGACTGGAAACATGAGACCTAACCATATGGATGATTCCCCCATGTTCTCTCCATTTTCACATGCTGACGAATCTGAGTCCCACGGATGCCATCCCATGATGCAAGGCCATTTCCGTGGCCATCTGTAGGATTCTGTCTTGCCAGCGAAGAGAGACTCCTCTCTCGGGGGGGGGGGGGGGGAAAGCAAAGGAAAGTGGGAAGAAGATGACAAAGATGAACCCTGCCATTAAGATGGTTTCCCTACTCTTGCCAACACTTTCCCCTTCTTTCCTCCACTTCCCTCCTGCCTGTCTGATGAAGTCCTTGGTCTAACATTATAATGATATGACTTGGGAACTGCCTGTAATCAAATAATGATGCTAGTAGGAACCAAGCAAAGGATTCTGGCAGTTATGTTATCACTTTCTCCAATATTCATTCACCAACCTCTTATACATTTCAGTATTCTTTATGAAAAAAGGTACAAATTAAATATAATATTTCATGGAAATTCCATAGGACTCATACAGAAAGTTTGCTGTGGACAGAACATGTTTCCAAAACTAGAGGTCCCTACCTCTTCCGACATTTCAACTGTTCAGTCTTAGTCCTAGCTCTACTGATCAATATTTTCAATGTAAGTATTTAAATAACTGCCCTAATTCCTACAAGTACTAGCATGGTACAGGTCTTTCTGCCCAAATCCATAGGGCATCCTGTGTTACAATTGAAATGGGGAGATTTTCATACTTGGTCTGTGGTTTGTGATTCACAATTCTGTAATGTAATAATATTACTCTAGCAATTAATAATATCATGCAGCATCATAAGCTTATCAGTCTGGCATGGACTTCCAATTCTGTAACCAGTCACTTGTTGATATTTGAAAGAGGGGAAAGAAAGAAAAGATGTGGGCATATTTTGTATTATTGGCTGACCTGTTTCAAAAAATTGAAAAGAAGTAGGAGGGCATGCCAAGCCATACTTTGCTCTAGTGCATGAACAATCACACAAACACTACTACAAACCTCAAAGTTTTCACAATATTAGCAATAGCAGCAGAATAAGGCTGAAATAGCACATGAGTAACTCTCTTATAAATCCCTCCATTCCAAAGTAGTACTTGTTGTCCCTGTACAGATAAATATAATATTTTCTCACACTCAACACTCCTAGACAACAGCAGAAAGCGAACTGAGTATCTAGGAACAATGCCAGTCAAGAAGCTCCCACCAAGCTGCAAACTTTATGTGTCAAGAGGTGTGCAGTTTCATCAGGAACAGGTAGTACTCTTAACCCTCAGTTTAGCTTGAGTTGTAAAAAGATGCCCCTTTCTGATTCTTCCTGGAATGATTATTGGAATTATGCTGTTAGCTTTAAGATAAGGTGGCCCATGTAGATAGGCACAAACACTTTCTTCTCTGTACCATAGATATCTCTGACACCAGCATTCCTGGTTTAGCACTGGGTATTCTGTAAACTGGCTACTATTCAACTGAATATAAGTTTCCTGCAGTTTTTAAAAGGTGATATGGAATATTTGAAGGTGTAAAGTAAGGCCTTGAAGAATTCATGTGTTTATCAAATAAAGTCCATGTGATGCTTCACAAGGCTTCTAATATTCTTTATTTATTACTTGTCTCAAGCTGTTGTCTGAGCTTACATCGATCTCTTTTTTCTTTTGTCAAAGCACAGATCTTAAAGGTAAACACAGGGGGAAAAAAGAGAAGGTGGCTAATTTTTACAACACCTTAGCAGCAGGGTATCGAATCAAGAGTAGCATAATGTAACATTGATCTTCATGCTGTGGGCAACTCATGTGCATTCTGTGTTGCAGGTTGTTCAAGACATGGCAGCAGGTCAAACCAATCCTCCAGTCTCTCTCAGCCCATTTTTTCCATGGACACAGTGGGGTAGGCACAGCATCTTTCTTGACCCAGTCTTATAATCCCTTATTTATCAATGTGTGGACAGGGTATCCAAGGGAATTTATCCAGTGATTAACAATTCTGAGCTCCGTATGGGGAAGTCAGAGGTGTAGGAACATTTCAGTGATAAAACAGTATACAGGCTGAGTATCCTTTATCTGAAATTCTTGGAACCTGAGGTGCTTTGGATTTTGTTTTTAAAAGTTATTTTGGGATACCTGTATTTGCATAATGAGATATCTTGGAAATGGAGACCCATCTAAACAAAAAATTTATACACCGATACATTTATACAAATAAATATGCATAATCTGAAGGAATATAAAATATTTTTAACAATTTTGTGCATAAAACAAAACTTTGCATACCATCAGAAAGTGAAGTTGTCATTACCTCAGTCACCCATGTGGACAATTTCAGATTTTGGAGTATTTCAGATTTTGAAATTCCACAATAGGGATGCTCAACCTGTGGTTCATTTGGCAGCTGGGGGAGGGGGGGCTTTGGGGGCTTCAGCCACCCCCCAAAATTCTCGTGGTGGTCTGCGAAAAGGCCTTACTGGTACATTATTTAAACTGTTATGTTTATTCATATCATGATCTGATCACCATGCTCAATATATCTCATATGCATGGGGGTATTGGGGTAATGATACAGAAGGTTTGCTAGGGTAGATCCTCTTTCACTCAGACTCAGCCCCCCCCCAATCAAACTCACCCCCCCCAAATCAAAATCCTGGCTACGGGCCTGTTTGGTAGCATTGAGGATCCTAGGCTTTACATCCGGGATGAGGGATTAAGGGAAGCACTGAAAGAATAATGCCATTGTTCAAGATTGTGGGGCTCAAAAAGAAAAGTTATCTGTCTCTGGTTTTGCTCCTCGGGCATCACCCATCCACGAAAACAGAACTTTACAAACAAGGCTTATGTTTTAGAGCCTTCTATAACATAGTGATAGGCACATCATAGCTAAATGCTAGTAAAGCAGCCAAAGCATGCTGTGCAACATCATTCATTTGAAAAACAACCTTCATCCACAGAACCTGTCTCTTGAGTCTCAAGATTATACCAGGGAATATCAGGAGTGTTCTGGCTTATCTTGGTTCTCCGCTTCCTTCTTATCCCAACAACTTTCAAAACTGAGCTGATTAGAGCATGATAAACTTCTCAGCATCTGATTCTCAGAGAAAATAATTCACAAGGCATTTCACACACACATTGAGGGTGGTGACTGGCTTCTATTTTAAAAATTGCATGTGTAATTCTAGAGAGGAAAAAAACCTCTGAGCATGCATAGAAACACCATTATTCTTTGAAGCCTTTAATCCCTGGATGAAATCAAGCACTGTTCCTCTAATATTATTTAACTTAGCACAAAAGGAATACATACTCACGGAAGATCCTTGAAGTGCTTGTTCACAGCTAATCAGTAAGTCTGGAATGAGACCAGGAGTATGAAGAAACGAATGTCATGCTTGACGTACAAAGGAAGTGGGATGGTTTTTGTTATTGGAGCAGATCCACACATACACAGGCTTCTTCCATGAACTCTGATGGAGGACGAGAAATGAACGTGCAACTACTAATGACCCCTCATTAACGTTCATATCCTAGGACCAGGATGTCTGTCTGGTGCCCTGAAGTGCTGAGCCTCTGCTTCCTCTAGGGCCCCTTCTACACTGCCATATAAAACCCAGATTATCTTTATTTGAACTGGATTATATGGCAGTGTAGACTCATATGATGCCGTTCAAAGCAGATAATGTGGATTATCTGCTTTGATAATCTGGATTATATGGCAGTATAGAAGGGGCCTAAGTTTTAAGTTAATTTACTCCACAATTTCATGATGTTAGTTTGACAATCTATTTCAACCTCAAGGCCAAGTGATAAGAAATGGATACGGATGCATTTAGAAATAAATATTTAGAAATAAATATAATCACACACATACGCGTGTGCACACACATATATATTGTATGCACATTAGAACACTGAAATGTAGAAAAATCAGACTCTCTGTATTAGTTTCTCTGAGGCAGCACCAGGAGGTACAGGAATGCAAGGGGGGGGGGGGGGTCTGTGTTTAAAGTGGAATGTAGGGGGGTTTGCTATCTAAACATTCCTGGGGCCTTTCACTAGGAGCTAATGGACCTAAAGTGATAAGAGGGTCCCCTTTGATTGATGACTTGAAGATGGAGTGTTATCTTTACTTGCTGTTGCTATCTGTAATTCTGCCTTAGAGTGCTTTTTAGAAAGAACCTATGTATGTACCCGACACTGAGAAAGGTAGCAGGAGCTTTTTATGATGTGGTATAGCAACAATGCATGTATGTAACAGGAATCTATAAAATTAATAGATTTCCTTTGTTCAGGCACTCATCTCTTTGGAAAAGGATTTCTAGGAAGGTCCTTTTGGCAGCTGGCATGAATAAACATACATCTCTGCCTCAACAAATGGTCTCTTTGGTGTTATCTCTCTTATCTGCTACAACAAAATGACAGCAGGATTTAAAATGATGTGTACCATGAAAATTATGTGTACCATTTTTTTCTATGACAAGCACGAGTTGAGAAACTGCAAGTTGCTTCTGGTGTGAGAGAATTGGCCATCTTCAAGGACATTGCCCAGGGGATGCCGAGCTGGAGCTAATCTGTGCTCTCCCCAGATTTGAACTTACAACCTGTCTGTCTTTGGTCCTGTTGGCACAAGGGTTTAACCCATTGTGCCACCGGGGATTTTCATGCGTACCATGAAAATGTGAGAGTTCTCAGGGAAAACACAACTTGGAAGCTGAGATGAATTTATTTCAATTAATGTATGGATATGTTTAGAATTGGAAAGCATTTCAACTGGAGGAACTGAGGGTACACCTTGACAGGCCAGAAATAGCAATTTTGATCCAGAGTGGGATATTCCAGATCACTATCATTAGAGGATAAACTGCATGCCCCTGACATAGCTTAGGGCTGGATGAAGAAGATGGGTGCTTCCAGAGAGCATGGAAATGCGGATTTCGAATGGGGGGGGGAACCCCCACAAAACCCCAGGACCTGAGAACATGTTTCCACACAGACCTGTGGGTCCCAGGATTTCTTCCCCTGCCACCCTCACAGGCTTTGTCTGTATTGGAACAAGATGACAGGGGACATCCAGCAGAAGTTTTAAAAAAACCACTCTGTTATGCACTGGACCGCATATGCACACATGCAAATATCTTAGTATAAAAATACAAGCAGATTCACATGTGCACATATGAGGTTCAGCACATAATGGAGGGATTTTTTTTAAAAAAAAACTTCTACTGGATCTCTCTCTTCCCCCAATTGTTTATTCAAGCTCTGTTTAATATTATAAAGTTTTAAATAAAGAGTTTCAAAGAGTTCTCATTGCTCTCCATTTGTGCTTCCTTTAAATCAGCTGTGTGTCCATTTCACAGCCAAATCAGCAGTCTGTTTCACAGCCCAATCACCACTCTCCACAGTGGGGAGGGAAGGAAATCATGTGTTTTTCATGAGTGCAGGGACATACAGTGATGCGCATATGCACATTTTCCGGCAGGAATAGGATAAAGGGGGACCTTTTTACCCTGTGTTTTTTGCCTGTTGCAGTGAGTCAGCGTTAATTTACAGCTAGTGTCATGTAGCCATTTCCCTCTTCTAACTCGGGAAATTCGGTGTTTTAGGTGCTGTGTAGATGGGCCCTTTATTGCACAGCCCCAAGCCACCCTGGTGGCTAGATTGCAGCTGCATGGCTGAGCAGCTCTGGAAATGGTTTGGTGCTGCTCAACCACGACACTTACCTTGCCCCCTTGATTTGGCATACGCAGTTTCCACTAGGCACAAAAATGGGAGTAATATTTTGTGCATAATTGATTCACTTTTTTTAAAAAAAAAAAGATCTGGAATTTGCAGTTTTGGAAGGGCTACACCTTAGTTTAAGGAGAATCAAGTGCTTTAATTGCTTAGTGTAAAAAGGTTTTAAATCCATTCTGGAAGTAGAGGTTTTCCAGAGATTTGGTTTCAGAGTCACCTAGCCCCATGGTTACTTAAGGATATTGAACTTTCCTTGAACTGAGATCACTGTTTTGTGTTTATACAAGCTTATTCTGAGGAAGGGAATTTTCAGCTAATGGTAAACTGCTGTTTCCCATCACATACTGACACAAAATCTCCCATGTGTGTAGTCTCTGTGGAAGCCCATAAAAGGTAGCCAATCTCCACTGTCATTTTGAAGAGAGTTATAACAGTGGGTGCAATGAATCATAGCATAGATCACTGAGAAGAATGGTAGTTGGTTAGTTTGAGAAAATTGTTGTTGTTTGAAAAAAATCTTTTGTATTTGTTTATTGGCCCAAATATTAAAGCTGAAAAACATTACATTTTGTAAGGTTGTTCAAATATCTTGAATTAATGTGTTTATTGATCTGCCCTGAATAGCAGAAGAGACTATGGGCCTTATCGCACAAGGCAAGGAAATTGCAGTTGCATCTGGTTAATAGTGCCTTCTGTTTGGGCTTACTGTTATCACTCGTCTGCTGTTATCCTATGAAAGACAATTTTCGAGTGATTCTTTTACTAACACAAAAAAAATCCATTGTCCTCCTCCTTTCCCACTACTGTCACATTATAATTTCCTGTGTGAAAGTTCAATTGTGCTGTTATGCCCATTGTGGGTGATCAGGCGCATGTGTTTTGGATGGGAGATCCAGTGCCTTTCCGGAGTCTCTGTTGCTACAATGGTGCAATGCCATGGCATGGCAATGCCTCATTTTCTTTCTTTCTTGGTATCCAAACACATACATGGATGGGAATTGGGGTGGATAAGAAAGACAAGATGGTGAACAAGAGTTTGGATTGTTGAAAGCTTTCATGGTCGGAATCACTGGGTTGCTTTGAGTTTTCTGGGCTGTATGGCCACGTTCCAGAAGCATTCTTTTCTGATGTTTTGCCTGCATCTGTGGCAGGCATCTTCAGAGGTTGTGAGGTCTGTTGGAAACTAGGAAAGTGGGGTTTATATATCTGTGGAATGTCCAGGTGGGAGAAAGAACTCCTGTCTGCCTGAAGCAGGCATGAATGTTGCAATTGGCCACCCTGACTAGCATTCAATGGTCGTACTGTTTCATCAGTGCGCCTCTGTAAAATCCTGCAAATCTCTTGGGCAGGCAAGCGGACAAATGTCAGTGTCCTGGAAGAAGCAAAGACCACCAGAATTGAAGCGATGGTCCTCCGCCATCAACTCCACTGGACAGGCCACGTTGTCCGGATTCCTGACCACCGTCTCCCAAAGCAGTTGCTCTACTCCGAACTCAAGAACGGAAAATGGGATGTTGGTGGGCAGGAAAAGAGATTTAAAGATGGGCTCAAAGCCAACCTTAAAAACTCTGGCATAGACACTGAGAACTGGGAAGCCCTGGCACTTGAGCGCTCCAGCTGAAGGTCAGCTGTGACCAGCAGTGCTGTAGAATTTGAAGAGGCATGAATGGAGGGTGAAAGAGAGAAAGGTGCCAAGAGGAAGGCGCGTCAAGCCAACCCCAACCAAGACCGCCTTCCATCTGGAAACCAATGCCCTCACTGCGGGAGAAGATGCAGATCAAGTATAGGGCTCCACAGTCACCTACAGACCTACTGCCAGGACACTGACCCTGGAAGACTATCCTATTTGGACAACGAGGGATCGCCTAAGTAAGTAAGTGTTTCAAGTTCTGACTGCTTCCCGCCTGGGGGAATCCTTTGTTGGGTGGTAATTAGGTGACCCTGGAATTCTGCTGTTTTTGAGTGTTGTTCTTTATTTAATAAACAAGACCTCGTTTTTCTGCTTTTTCTTTCCATATAATACCTTAGTTTCCTCTACAAAGCTATGACCACAAAATATGGAGAAGAGAGGAGGGCAAGTTTTGGTTGCCACCCTCCCCATGCAGTGTCCTGCATGCATATGGTCTTTCCTCCCTCTTCTTCTTTTCCCAGAAAATAAAGAATGAAAAAGAGCAGGATCATGATAAAGGAGGTAGTGGGCGTGCAATAAGGCTTTGGAGCAAATGGACACTGTAATTCTTGAATGGTTCTCAAGATATACAAAGAAGGACAGCAATCCCAATTGCATAGCATTTTCACAGACAAAGCAATTATAGTAGGAGAGGGGTCTTGAGCAGTTTAAATTGTGGAATGTAGCAGCACACACGCAAGAGACAATCTGCTGTATTTCAGTCCAATGTTTACACTCAAAGAATGTTGCCAGTGGAATTAAGCCATAACTTTTGTTTATGTATAATGGAGTTAATGAATTTGCTAAATGGTTGTTCTATCAGAGTGAGACAGTGCCGTATTTCAGCCCACTAACAATGTTCACCATGGAATGGAGCTATATATTTTTGTTTCTTCATAATGGAGTTGATGAATTTACTAATTGCCTGTTTTGTATGTTGCCCTGCACAGGTGTGTTTTATAAGTATTTTAACGTATTTAAATAAAATAATTATTTCATCATTTCTCCTTTTTATTTCAAAGGCCCCTGAGAAACAAATTTATATTTCAAAGTGCAGAGAATTTAATGAAACATTAAACATTGCCTGGAGCTGCAACTGAGAGAACACTCTTCTCTGAGGATCTTAAGACTATACTAGATCAGTATTAGGCTTGTCTTGGAGTGGAAGAATATATCAAGCAGGGGTGACCCCTCTGAGGCTGCTTTTGTGATCCTTGATCTCTTAGGAGACTCCATAGACACACCATTTTAAGGACATTAAAAAGAGCATGCATTACCTCTCCTGGTAGCTTTCAAGACAGGAAAATTGCCTTGTAAATAAGTTGGGGACTTTATCTCACAGAGGTGGGAAACCAGCATTGAAGTGGGATTATTGCTCTTGGGGGCTGTCCGTATTGCATCAATTACTGATCTTTGACTTTGAATGGTTTTTAACTGGGAAATTTTAAATTACTGTTTATATTTAATTCTGTTTTATCGTCCGTATATTTGTATATTTTAAATGGTTATGCATATGCTTTTATGTTAAGCCGCTTTGAGTCCCCTTTGGGGGAGATAAAGTGAGGTATTATTATTATTATTATTATTATTATTATTATTATTAATAATAATAATGGAGTCCCCGGTGGCGCAGTGTGTTAAAGCGCTGAGTTGCTGAACTTGTTGACCAAAAGGTTGCAGGTTCGAATCAGGGGAGTGGCGTGAGATTCCGCTGTCAGCCCCAGCTTCTGCCAACCTAGCAGTTCAAAAACATGCAAATGTGAGTAGGTCAATAGGTACTGCTCCGGTGGGAAGGTAACAGCACTCCATGCAGTCATGATGGCCACATGACTTTGGAGGTGTCTATGGACAACGCTGACTCTTCAGCTTAGAAATGGAGATGAGCACCACACCCCAAAGTCGGGCTTATTGTCAGGGGAAAACCTTTACCTAATAATAATAACAACACTACTTTCCCATGACAAACCTGTCCTCTCCTGTTGATGTGCAAAACCCATCGATAGCCCTTGACCATACCAAAATGCCATGACTTACTGGTGTGATGATCCCCAGATGCTTGTGTACTGGTACATTAGTGCAGAAGTGTTGTAAGGGTAGGGGTTTTTTTCCTGCTCTCCCCCTCTCCCTCAATCCATCTTCCAGTAGTTAAAGTTAATTTAAAAAAAAAAGTAAACGTGATAGAAAAAGTTTTTTCAAAATCTTACAGAGCTAGGGAACTGCAAGAAGGTGATTTTCCCTTCCTAACAGGAAGCACAACAATGGAACCACAGAGCAGAGAAGTGTCATTGTTGCGCTACCATCAAAGTAATTCAATTTTGGGTTGATTATTCTGGTAAGTCATCAGGATCAATGATGATGCAAATGCCGCAGAAGGATGGCTTTGCGCAATATAGTATTATATGCAACCGTTCTCCCAGCTTTTTAGTATTAACCACTTGTCAAAACCCTAAGGCCCCTGAGCTACTTAGAATATAGAATTCTAGAATTGGAATGGACCACATGGGTATCCTTGCATGTAGCCATGCAAGGATACACATCTAAAGCACTCCAGAAAAATGTCCCTCTTATCTATTTAAAGTCCTCCAAAGATTAAAGATTTCACCACTTTCCGAGGCAATGTATTCTACTGTTGAACTCTTAACATTAAATTATGGAGGGCCATAAGTTTGACATCTCTGGCTAACAGCTTCCCTGCAAGAATATCATCATGGACCTTGTCAAAAGGCTTACTGAAATCAAGATATATTACTTCCACGGCATTCCCATGATCTACCATGTTTGTCAGTCTATGAAAATGAGAGATAAGATTTTGTGGCATGGCTGCTCTTTGAGAAACCCATGCTGTCACTTAATAATCATTCCATTCCGCTCATAGTACACACAGCCGGTATTGCACCACCTGACATCCGCCGGGAAGTTGCAGCCAATAGTGAAAGGACCAAGGCAGAGACATCTCCAGCTCATCCCTTGTTTGGGTATTAGCCAGCATGTCAACGACTTAAATCAAGAAATAGTTTTCTTAGATCTACAGAGACACTCGCTGGAACACCTCAGCAAGCGAGAGTTCAAAAGTGGCAGGCTCAAACCCAGCACCTCAATCCGTGGGTGATACCAGATGAGAGACTCCCCCCTGGGCACACAGACTGGGCGACTTGGAAGGCGCTGAACAGACTGCGCTCTGGCACCACGAGATGCAAGCCAATCTTAAGAAATGGGGCTACAAAGTGGAATCCATGACATGTGAGTGTGAAGAAGAGCAAACCACTGACCACCTGCTGCAATGCAACCTGAGCCCTGCCGCATGCACAATGGAGGACCTTCTTGCGGCAACACCAGAGGCACTCCAAGTGGCCAGATACTGGTCAAAGGACATTTAATCAGCTACCAAGTTTGCAAAATTTGTGTTTTGGTTTTTTTATCTGTTTGTTTGGTTTATTCTGTTAGAAATGTAATACAATGTTCTGGTTGCAGATGACACGATAAATAAATAGCACACACAGTCTGTCTGTTTAATGATCTGTTTCAGAACCTTCCTTGTATTGATATCTAACTGAGTTGTCAGCAATCGCTTAGGTCTCTTTTTTTTAACATGGGCACAACATTTGCCCTCCCCCAATCTGTTGGGACATCTGTCTGCCAAGAATTCTCAAAGATTGTTAACACTGGCTCTGAGATTGCGCCTAGAAATTCCTTTATTACTTTTGGATGCAACTAATTTTGTCCCGGAGACTTCAATTCATGTAGACTACTTCAAAGTTTGTTTTGGTTTTCTCTCATTTTCTGGAAGTTGGTCCCAGAGCAGAAAATTTTCCCCCCTGCACCTGTCATTGCTGTCTCCTCGAGTTTACGTCTTGGCCTTTATTAGCAAATATTACTTTGACAGTATAAAATCTTAAATAAATGGAAAAATGTAAACGTTATTTGCCAGAGAAAACACCTACAATCTAATATAACTTTTCAGAAAAATGGAATGGAGAGCTTGGTGAACCTCATATTCCTGAATGTTATTATGAAACAAAATTAGTTCAATTTTAAATAAAAGTAAATCATAGAACACTACTCGTGCTGAAAAAGAAAGTTAGATAATAATATCCTGTATTATTTTATTATCAGCTTAATACAACTTGCACAAGCTGGTTTTTTCGATAGTACTTCTACAAATGGTGCAAATTTCAGATTATAACATAAATTAAGAAACAATAAACATGAAAGCAACCTGTTATTTATTGAGCAGCATCTATAAGAAGTCTCTTAATGAAGGGCATCAGTAAAACATACATCACGATTACATATGACAAAAAAGTATTCAGAAGAAACTATTGGAGATTTATCAAAATAGTGATAGAATGATCTGATCAATATTATGTTTTCTTGTGATTATAGTCTAAGTTCATATCAATAAGTTATTAGCTGAATTGATTGCTCCAAATCTATCATATTTGGGCACTTTTAGATCAAAAGTCATGTAGTGAGTTGAATGTTGGGTTACTATCTTGGAGACCAGCGTTCAAATCCCTGTTCCGCCATGATAACCCAATTTGTTGGGTTATCACATACACTCAGCTCTAGGAGATCCTGTGATAGATCAGCCTGAGGATTGCCATAAGTTGTAAACACAATAACAAGAACAGCAGGACACAAAGCATAAATATGCATATATTTGAAACTGAGCTTGAGATATGGCTTTAAATTGTTATGTGTCTTCAAGAAAATCCTTACTTATGGTGACCCTAAAGTGAACATATTGCAAAGTTCACTTTGCAGAATTCAGAGAGGATTTATCATTTCTCTGAGCCTGAGAAAATGTGACATGTCCAAGGTTATCTGGTGGGTTTCCATAGCCAAGTGGTGATTTGAACCCTGATCTCCCCGTGTCCTCATCCACCTCTCAAACCAATTCATCATGCTGTCTCCTAACAATGTTAAACATAGAGCACACACACTCAACCTAAATTAACCTTGTGCATTAAATATAATTTATAATTATACTATGAACACATTCACTACTAATTTGAAAGCAAAAAAACAAACAAAACAAAACCCCTATAACAGGAGTTTACATTGTACACATTGTATTTAATGTGACAGACACCGTAGTTGAATTGTGAGCTCTAAACTGATGTGGTTGTTTGTGGGGGTATCCTTCATTCCTCTCCTGTGTAGTTTACGAAGCTTCTTGACTTGGAACTTCTCCATTGGGAGAAAGCACCACCTGATCATATGCTGGTGGACTGGGAGTCACATTATTCTCAATTATAGAGTAGGGCACAAAAGCCATTGTCTGAAACGGGAGGGAAAAGCTGTGATAAGAATGCATTCCCTTGCCTTCACCATCAGTGCCTTGGAAAGAGTCTTCAATGCCATCTTCTCTCTAAACATTATGAGTAATCCCGTGTACTCTCCGCCCCCCCATTTGTCTGAAGCACAATTATCATGAGGAGGGTCTCTTTATCCTGTCAGTGTTTTAGACATTACAATTTTGCTTTATTATAACAGATTCACCCAAGATTGACATGTCCATCAAGCTATTCATTCACAACACCACCATCCCAATTTTGGTTGGTTGCTACTAATATCTATTTCCCTTCCTTCGCGTATCAGTTCAAATTGGTTGTATTGAATCTAATTTGCCATATTGAAGATCCCCATTCCAAATTTGAATGTCTCTTCTGTCCCTAACAATTGATACTTTCTGAAGGATCTGTAAGAACCCCACAGCAGTCTAAAGTCATTCATTCATATTCATGTTCAATTATTTCTTCTATATGTGAAGGGTTTTTTCTTCTTCTCACCTTGCTGTTTTTTTTAAACAAACTTACCCTATCATACGTATTATAGGTTTCCTCACATCTGAGATGTGCTTCTGAAGCAGCAAAGCAGAACTCCAGCAAGGTAAACAGGAAGAGCATGACACAGAGACCAGTACCTACAGCCTGTAAAGAAAAGAAGCAGGTGGAATGGCATGTCTCAAATATCTTACAGAATTGGCAATAATTGAGCCATGGAGAGGCACCTTAGCAACCACTTTCTGAGTTGAAAATATAGTACCAGAATATCTATATCTAGATCTATATCTTTATCAAAGTCAAGATCATCCATGCCATAGTATTTCCAATTTCTATTCATAGTTGTAAAAGTTGGAAAATGAAGAGAACTAATAGGAAGAGAATGATAACATTTGAAATGGGCACTGGAGGTAAGCTCCAAGGATACCATGCCAAAAAGACAAATCAATGGGTCCAAGAGCAAGTACACTGAACTCTCACTGGAAGACAAAAAGACACATCATTAGATAGCATGACACAGAGAAAAACGATAAAGCGTTGTAAAGTTGAAGGAAGTAGAAAAAGAGAAAGCACGTTACAGATGGATTTATTCAGTAAAGGAAACCACAGAGGTTTAAAGCAGAGATGTTGATGCTCTTGGACTTCTCTCATTCATGGTTTGTTGCTGCAATTGGTTCACTTACATGTAAAGAATCTTGACCATAATAATGAGTAGAATTTATAGTCAGCTGAACTATAAACAGAACCATTCCAATTGATGCCATGATAGCGCTGGTAAGATTCATTCCCATATTACACTTTACCTGAAAGAAAATGATAAAGAAGGAAGCAAATATATCACAGAAGTTTCTAGACAAGATATCTCCAGAATGTGTTCCTTCCTCTGAAGCTGGGAGACTGGGGCTTGCCTATCCAATGGGCTCCAATGTACGGCTGGAGTTTTAAACTCTAATCTCCAGTGTAGTATTCCAACATTCAAATCACTACACCATAGTACTCCTTAAGTCCAAAAGTAGTTACACTCAGTCAACTTGTAAGGAGGGGTCATGGAGAGGGGAAAAGAAGGTTTAATCTTTCCTTTCCTGCATACTCAGATGAAATCACACCACTGCAGCATCTCCTAAAAACTAATTACATATTTTTGTCATCTTCACCGCACTGTTGATGCTGCTTAGTCAAATGTGTCCTGGTTCCCTTGTGAAGAGTACTGGAGAGTATGGGAGCAACCATTCTTCTAATAAGAAATAACATGGATGTCGGCTTGGAGATTTGGAATGAGTTGGTTCTCTGAGGACCAGTTTTGCCCCTTGACATTTGGGAGTACAGCATGAAATATAAAGAGAAAAACAGAAAATGGTTCTGACATTTGGTGGATGCAACCCTGGACAAAGTTTACATGTTTGCATAAGCAAGATGATAGAAGTGGGTTATAAAATATTTTTATTTTGTTTTATCTCTCACCAAATTCTTGTTCAATTTCTTTGCAGTATACACAGAAATGGCTCCAGAAGCAATGAACTATACAAAGAAAAAGAAAAAAAACATTTTAATTCATCAAAATTTTATGTGGAAAGTTTTCTATTTGGAAAATGCGATATAAAAATAATAGTAGCATTGATCATCTTTCTGGTTCAAATTCAATATAAAAGATAAGTTCAGACAAGTAAACTGGGCTGGAACTGTATAGGGCTTTATAGATCAAGGCCAGCACGTTGAATTGTGCTTGGAAATGGACTGGCAGCCAGTGAACCATATCGGGGGGTGGTATGCTCCCTGTATGTTGCTCTGGTGAGTAATCTGGCTGCCGACTGTTGGACTAGTTGGAGTTTCCTAACAGTCTTCAGAGGCAACCCCATGGAGAGTGCATTGCAATAATCTATTCAGGATGTAACAAGAGCATGGACCACTGTGGCCAGATCAGACTTCCCAAGGTATGGGCGCAGCTGGCGCACAAGTTTTAATTGTGCAAAGGCTGCCCTGGGGTTCCAGGCTCACCAATGAATCCAGGATCACCCCCAAGCTGCGAACCTGAGTCTTCAGGGGGAGTGTAACCCTATCCAATTTAGGCTGTAACCTTATGCTCTATTTGGCCTTTTGACTGACCAGTAGGACCTCTGTCTTGTCTGAATTCAATTTCAAATTGTTAGCCCTCATCCAGTGCTGTCAGGCACTGATTCAAGGTCTGGACAGCGTCCTTAGTGACAGGTGGGAAGAAGTGACAGATTTGGATGTCATCTGCGTACAGGTGACACTGTACTCCGAAGATCTGGATGATCTCTCTCAGTGGCTTCATGTAGATATTAAACAGCATGGGAGACAGAAATGAACCCTGTGGGACCCCACAAGACAAAGGTTGTGGGGACGAACAGGTGTCTCCCAATAACACCTTCTGAGACTGTCCCTCCAGAAAGGACTGGAGCCTCCAAGTCCCATGTCTGCGAGGCATCTCAGAAGGATACTGAGGTATCGAAGGCTGCTGAGAGGTCCAGCAGAACCAACAGGGACACACTCTCCCTGTCTAGCTCCTGGCATAGATCATCTACTAAGGCGGCCAAGGCTGTTTATGTTCCATGTCTTGGCCCAAAACCAAACTGTGCTGGATCTAGATAATCAGTGTCTTCCAAGAACTCCTGGAGTTGCAAAGCCACCACATGCTCAATGACTTTGCCCAAATAGGGGAGATCAGAAATTGGCCGATAGGTGACGAATTTAGTGGGGTCCAGTGATGGTTTTTTCAACAGAGGTTTTATAACAGATTGTTTTAAGCTCGCTGGAATCTTGCCTTCCTGCAGGGAGGCATTAACCATCACCTTTACCCTTCTGCCAAACCCCCTCTGGCCTTTTTTTTATCAGCCAGGATGATAAAAAAAGAAGTTAGGGTGGCATACCTAGCATTCTTCCAGGATCTTGTCCACATCCTCAAGCTCAGCTGGACGGTTCTTTGTGGACACAATATTAGCCACAAAGAAGAATTTTAGTGCAGCTTTTATTGCCACATCATAGGTTCTTCAAAAGACACCCAGCTGTGCTATTAGCTACCTTGAAAATCCCAGATAACTTAATTTGACTAGGTGGCCTTTGGCTGCTTTCACCCAGCCATTTAATCTAGAACAGAATGTGGATTTACAAGAACCAGTTTCCTCCAAAGTGCCTACATAGGCACCTTGGGAACCGGGTGAAAGATCAAATAAAATCTGTACATCCACCAGATCTCTCAAGCCATATTCTGATCCTGATTAAATATTTGTATCAAAACCTAGAATTTTGTTTATATTTTAACCTCATTCTGGGAAATAGCTTTCTCTGCGCTTGCTTTACAGCTTTGCAAAGCAAGGCAATAAATTGAAAGTTCAGAGGGAGGCTTTTTTTTTTTTACCTTCCTGCTGAGCTGTGCATCTGTCTTATTATTTTGAATGATTCCAGTGTTTTTTACATGAGCATTCCCTATTTGGCATTCACTCCTTCCTGTGACTTGTTTATACACAGGAAAATGCAGTGGATTTCCTGTCTGGAATTGGGATTTCTGGTAAGTCATGCTGTTTCTAGGTAGATGTGAGTTGGAGATCACACTGGGTGGGGGAGGGGGTGTTATCTGGATACCCAAAACCTCAAGCTGGTTTCAGGCCAGAGTATAGTGCCTGTGTGAATAATTACCTATGAAGGGCTATGATCAACAGGCAGCAGATTGTAAATTGTAACACAGCTGGTCCATGTCATCAGGCTGCATCAGATAAGTGTCAGCCTTCCACAAATTCAGGTTTCACTGTTGTGGATTTGATTATTCATAGATTTGAGTGATACATTCTTTCTAGGAATTTCTAGGTCTTCTATGGTCAATTCCTGCTATAGACCTGTGCTGGAGTGCCTACAGATTCTTAAAGAGGTGTTCCCTTAGTTCTAAAAATAGTGAGGGGGGGGTATTTTTCCCCCATCCTCCCACATTTGTGGGCCTCCTGCATCTGTAGTCCCAACAAATGTGGAGGACTGACCTTATAAAACATATAAATCTGACAAGAGGATGCACAGGCTATAGTTGTCTCCAATTTGTTTATAATTATAGAGTCTTTCAAAATTCAAGGGAATGAGTTTATCCAAAGAAAATCTTCAGATACCAGTCAGATCAGGCTGTTATATCAAAAGTGATAGAGCTGTGTTCAGAAGTGATGTTAAAGACGTCACTGTAATCAAAGAAGTATTTGAGATCTAGCTCTGATTGATTTATTTGAAAAAAAAATCATCTCCTTTTCATTGATCAGAAATGTATTGGTATTTCCAATAAATAGTATTTCCTGTTGAATCAATTTGACTTATAGAAATGTTGACTGGTTATGAAACAATTGATTCAGTTTGTCTACTTTGAGATCACTGATAACATTCAGACCATATTCAACCATTGTAAAAATGGATTATTCAGTCTATGAGCATCAGTTTAGATTAATGAAATAAGCACCTTTGCCTAGCAATTCTCCAGGTCTCTCTCAAAGACATGAGAGAGCAGAGAAATCCAAAATACTGATTTCTGCATTCCTTCAGAAAACTCTTCTTTGCAAGAGTCATCCAACTGATTTGAATTCTTATTCAAAATTAAGGAAGTCCCCTTCATAGTCAGTGAGGACACAAAAAGCTTCTGTATTACAGAACCCTATTTTTCTTGGTGTGCACATCAAGATGTGCAAGACATCCTGTATTGCAGATATATATGTATGGTGTTGCTTTGCAAGATCCACTGAATCACCTAGAGTCAAGATACTGGAATAAAATTTTAAACTACCACAACACTATCCTTTTGTGCAATCTTTCATTGCTGCATAGATACAAAAGAATTCAACTGTTTGCTTGGTCTGCAAGGAAGGTGATGAGGGACAGTCACAAGAAGTGTGGGTGTACAAGATAAATGTGCCCATTCTCTCACACACTCTCTTCACATTATTCCTAACATGTATTCAAAGATAAATGGTATTCTACATACAAACAATCCACCCCAGAATGGATAACCTCCAAGAGTAGACAAGTTGCTATAGGGATAGAGAACCATAGCTGAGACCGCCCCAAAGCCAATGTGGATGAATCCAATCACAATCTGGATAGCCTGTTGGGAGAAAATACACATACAAAATAAAGTTCTGGAATGATGGATGGATATATAGGCCTAAATCTCAATTGCTAACTGCTCTCAACCATTGTGCCATTGGGATTTACATAAATATTGATGTAATACTCAACAATTAGTAGGTCTATTTACTTTTATCTATTCTATGGGCTTTTGGTACATAGTTCATGAAAACTAGGATAAAAAAGAGTCTAGTTATTTATGTGCACTTTAAAAATCATTCCAGAGACATCAGTTTAAATTTAAGACAAAAGCCAAATAATGTATTTCATTTACTACAAAAAATGAAAAGAAATGGAACACAGGACAGAAAATTTACCCGCAACTCACAACAAGCATCAAAAAAAGTTTTTATATTTCATTTTCTTTTAATATATAAATGCACTTCTTCTATGGCTTCTGCAAGGAAACCTCTGAAATCACCATGGACAGGAACACGAAGAGATAAGAAATATACTTACTGCCAGAGTCTTGGCCTCAACTTTTAGGAATTTTTCCAATGTTCCCAGAGGCCGATTTTGCTGGAACTGGTTGTTTCCAAGTGGCTGATTTGCAAATTGAGGGTCTTGTACTGTACCTGGTGCTGAAATGGCAGTGACAGGGAAACCTTGGCCTGTTGGGATTACATTATCTCCATTTGGAGGAATAAAGACCACTATCCCATTGTTCATTCTCTGTGGACCTGTTGCCATAGTTAATTTTTCTAGGGAATGGAGAGAAGCATGAAAGACAAATAGAACACACTCTTATATTTGGACAAATATCATGCATTCAACATTCCCTGAGCCCACAAAAGAACATAGAAAGGTACCCAATATTGACTTAGACCACTGTTGCATCTCATTTATGGACTCTACATCAGAAATGGGAAAGAATATTTGGTCCCCAATTGCGAATGTTGCCCATCAGGAATTATCTGATGACTGGAGCATCCTTGGGTCTATCATTTCCTGGAGCTCTGTTATGCCAGTAGCAAACCATTACCTGCTGCCCATTGGGGATCATCTGATGACTGGAGCGTTCTTGGGTTGTGGAGCCCCTGAATTGGCTGCTGTGATCCATCACTAGTGTGCTGCACCCCTCTGTCCACCATAAAGATTTTTTGCTCTACGACACTAGCACCATTCACCTCACTTACTGCAATGCATCAGACAAAACAAGAGAGAAAACCCTGGTGGTCATCTAGGGAGGCTTGGTTCACATTTTCAAGAAAACTGACTTTGTTCTGCAGTGTTTGGGATCCTGACCAAACTGGCAAGCAGCTATCTTTGACCTTTATACTTCTTCACACATTGTGGTATCATTCTTGACCCCCAAAATGTACAACAAATTAATATAAAAGTGTATTAACTAGAAACTAGCACCAAGAATGGATCACCAATGAACTAGAAGAACTAGTGAACCTAATATTCACTAGAGCAGTGGTTCGCAACCTGTGGGTCGTGACCCCTATTGGAAGTTGAAGGACCATTCACAGGGGTCACCGCTTCACCTCCTTCAGGTCTTAAAAGGAGCTCCTCCTCCCCTTTTTCTTCCTCCAGTGGCATAGGGCAAAAAGGAGTAATGGGGTGGTACTTGGAGGCAGAGGTGCAGGCAAGCATATGGGAGAAGGCAAGAAGGCGGCCCCCTTTCTCTCTCTCTTTCTCCCCCTTTTCTTCTTGTCCTATCCCTTTTTCTTTCTCCCTCCCTCCTCCTCCTTTCTCCCTTTCTCCTCTATTTCTCTCTCTTTGTTCTCTCCCTTTCTCCTTTTTTTTATATCTTTCTCTTCTTTTCCCCTCCTTCTTTCTCTTTCCTTCTTTCTCCCTTCCTTCTCTCCCTTTTCTTTCTCTTCCCTCCCTCTTCCCTTTCTTTCTCCTTCCTTTCTCTATCCCTTTCATTTCTTTGTCTTCCTCCCCCTCCTTTATCTTCCCTTCTTTTTACCTCTTCTCTCTCTCCCTTCTCATCTCTTCTTCTTTATTCCCTCCCTTTTCTATTGATAATTCTCTTACCCTTCTCTTTCTGTTTACTCCTCTATTATCCTCCATTTCTAACCGCCCTTTCTTTCTATCCATCTCTTTTTCTCTTTCTCTGTCACCCTCCCTTTCACCCTCTCCTCTCTTTCCCTTTTTTCCTATCTAGCCCTTGTTTCCTCTCTCTCCCTCCCTTCTCCTTTTTGATCTCTCTTCTTCCTTGTTCCGCTCCTCTCCTTCTCTTTCATTTTCCTTTTCTCTTTCTCTCTCCTCTCTCCTCCTCCTTTGCATTTTATCTTTCTTCCTCTCCCTCCCTTTCTCTCTCTTGTGCCTCTCTCCCTTTATTTGTCCTCTCTGCTTTTCCTTTTTTTATCTTTCTTTCTTTTTTCCTTTCTTTTTCTCTTTCTCTTGTGACCCTCTCTCCTTCCTTCTTTCTCCCTCCCTCCCTTGTGCAACCTCTCTTTCTTTCTTCCTCCCCCACCCTTTCTCTCCCTCTGCCGCTTCTTCCCTATTTTTTTTCCCCGTTTCTCAGCCTCAGAGGAAGGCAACAACAAGAAAACCCTGATGGTTTTGGTCTAAGATGTCCAAAAGCCAGACTTGATGTGAAGTAACATCAGAGCAGCCTCCCGCTAAAGAAGAGACCTTCTCATCCACATCCCTGTTCAAGTCTTTGCAAATTCATCCCTCCTTTTAATTATATACAGGCAGTCCCCAAGTTACAAACAAGATAGGTTCTGTAGGTTTGTTCTTAGGTTGAATTTGCATGTAAGCCAGAATAGGTAAATTTCTTAAGTATAACTCCAGCCATATATAATTACATATTTTTTTGTGATTAATCACTATGCTTTAATTATGTTTAATTTTTGAAAGGAAAATACATCCTGCATATCAGATATTTACCTTACGATTCAAAACAGTAGAAAAATTACAGTTACGAAGTAGCAAAGAAAATAATTTTATGGTTGGGAGTCACCACTACATGAAGATTTTGTCAAATGTTTCAAGTTGTATAGCATTCTTTTAAAGAGTGGGTTTTTATCACATAAAGCAGCCAGCAACACGATATGTATAGCTTTGGGTGGGAGTGGCCCTAAGTCCCTGTTACTCCTAAGTGTCTCTACTGAAGCAGTGATCGCTGAAACATAACTTGAAGCTGCATCACAAGCAGAGGTTGAAATGTTACTTTTCCAGATCCAAGTGGCCACACTGGCTGGGAGATTTTGGGTGCTGTGGTCCAAAATGTAACATTTCCAAATATTTCACTGTAAGACCCTCTCCTAACCATTCTGAATCCTTATTTTCCTGTTATTTTTATTTTCCACCTGTAATAGCAGCTAAATAAGTTAACCTATACATGATATGTGTTTGTGTATATATACAATTTCCTGTCAAGCTCCTCCCCCCCCCCCCCCCCCCCATCTTCAAACTTAGGGTTCTGGTTTTGTCGATTGAGTCAATCCCATCAGCAGTAGTTTCCCCTCCTTTGTTACTGCCTTCAACTTTGCCTCCCACCCATCCTGGGTGGGAGGCAAGGGAGGCAAGCCCACCTTATTACCATTACGTGATAATGAAGACCGCACTGGATATGGCTAATGTGTGCACGCCCTCCCACACACATACCTATACTCTGGGAAAGCCAGGGGACAGGATGTCTTAAATCAGACTCAATATGAAAGACAGAGGACATCCACAGTTGTTTTGGTTTTGGCTATCTGTTCCAAGTGAAATGATGGAAAGGGAAAAGGCTCAGTTACGGATTAAACACACCTAACAGGTAAGTATATGTCTTTTGCCTCTTATATGGATGCTGTAATGAATAAATAAATAAATAATGATGGGAATTATAATCTCTCTTAGTTTTTGGGAATGTTTTAAGGGTATTGCTGTCACCCAGTTGAAATACAGAGCCCCCATATCCCAACTAATTTAACTCCCATCAGAAGTACTTACTGTGTCTTCCTTGTTGCCTCTGTTTTCAGAGTCCTTGTAAATTATCTTACCAGGAAGTAAGGGTAAGTGACACTAAGCATAGGAGGGATGTTAAATCTGAATTTAACTCTTGCCCTTCCCAATAGATTTGCACCTTTTACCTCAGTTGTCTTTTATGCCATGCCATGTTACACCATGTTGTATTCTTCAGAAGTCCCTTTAATCATATTTAAAGGGCCCAGAATTTCACTAAGGGGTTTTCAGAATTCCATAGGCAGTCTATGTTAAAATAATTTATTTATTATTTATTTACAGTATTTATTTTCCTCCCTTCTCACACCACAGGGGACTCAGGGTGGATTACAATGCACATATACATGGCAAACATTCAGTGCCAATTATACATACAACATACGACATACGACAGACATGGAGGCATTTTAATAACATTCCAGTTTTTTTCCGGCTTCATGAGGTTATGCCCGGTTCAGGCCACAGGGGGAGCTGCCGCTTCACCGTCCAATTTTTACCCTGGGTCCTTTGATGGAGTACTTCCTCATCCTTCTGCACACTGCTGGAAGGCTTTATGGCATCGCAAATTAGTTAAATTAGCCATCCCGCATAAAGTGGTAACTAAATTTTCTACTTGACAGATACAACTGTCTTTTGGGCTCCATAGGTCAACAGCAAGCTAGACTATTAATGGTCAGGAGCTTACTCCAATTCAGGCTGGCTTCGAACTCATGACCTCTTGGTTAGTCATGATTTAATGCAGCTGGCTACTAACTAGCTGCGCCACAGCTCGGTCCTATAACCCCTAGAAACATCAGCATAACTACCTCTTTAGGCATTGCATAAAGAGGCATCCAGCACCTTGTTACTCAAGGTTGTTGTGCCAGATTCTGTTGATTGCAACCTCTCCCCTCTGGGTCACACTTTGGCCAAAGGAGTATATCCAGCTTCTGTTTGGATGCTCTTGCCTAGACAGCCTCTCCCATGGCCAACCTGCGCTCAGGGGCAGAACTGAACCTCAGAAGCTGCCTTTGCTTCCTGGAACGGTGGTGTAACTGTGCTGATGTAGGTTTATGTTACTGTGGAGAGTATCACATAAGTCTGTAAGGTGTGTTGGAGGCTCCCTATACATGAATAAAACACCATTGGACAATGTCATCCTAAACTGATCTTTAAGTCATGTTGTAGCTGTATTAAATATAAATGAATTCTCCTTGTCTTTTGACTTCTGAGCATGCGTTAAAAAAGCTTTAGAAAGTGGATTCAATAATGCAGTAAGTTGAATCTAGAGACATAATGACTCAGTGGGGTTGTGATGTCCATTGTGCGTGTGTTGTGGCTAGTCCTTCTTGGCTGCAAAGCACAAAGTTAAGCATTTTTTCATGTTTTCTTTTAAAAAATTAAATGAAAGAACTGTGCTGTCCCTTCCTGGACCAAATCTCTAACATGTATTTCCCCTGTTAATTGAACGTTTTGCAGAACTCCCCATCTTTTAGCTTTTTTACAGGAGGCTACAAGAAAGGAGGTTCCACCTGAACACCAGGAAGAATTTCCTGACTGTAAGAGCTGTTCAACAGTGGAACTCTCTGTTTCAGAGTGTCGTGGAGGCTCCTGCTTTGGAGGGTTTTAAACAGAGGCAGGATGGTCATCTGTCAGGGTTGCTTTCATTGTACTTTTCCTGCATGGCAAGGGGTTGGACTGGTTGGCCCATGTGGTCGCTTCCAACTCTAAAAACTATAAAAGTTCAAAGTACACCTTGCACTTGATGTCAATTGTGGGGTGTGTTTTGGGTTGCCCTTCTC